AGCGCCCTGATTAGCTGCCACTGGGTTGCCTGCCACAGCAGCGGCTTTCTTGGCTGCTGACTTTGCAGCCTTCGAGGACTTCACTTCGATGGTCTTGGTCTTGTGGAACTCATCTTTCTTCTCCTTCGCCTCCTTCTTGTCAATGCCGCTGCTGATCAGGCCATCGTAGTACTTCTGGGCCTGTTCCTCGACTTCCTTCTGTTCTGCTTTGTTGAGCTTCCACTTAGTCGGGTTCTTCCCGCCATGACTCACACAGAGTCAGAAAAACTTGAACCAAAATGGTCACCTGAGGATTTCACAGTTCATGGATGATTTGGCCGTGACTGACATCACCTTGACAATTTATGTGAGATAGCTTTCAATTAAATTGCAACAACTGCAGCGATTCAAATTCACTCAAACCCGGTGGGCATCCTTTTTTTTTGCGCCGTGTCTGTCGCTGCATCATTCGACACTGTGGTCGCGGTTGTTGTCGCTGGCGTCTTTGCAAAATTGACCTCAGAATTCAGAAGTCAACAGCATCAAGGTTTAAGATCAGATGATTGTCGCTGACTATGTTACAAATCAGCCCGCTAAGCCCGGCAACGCATCGACCCAGCAAAGCCCAGTCATTAAATGACTGGGCTTAGCTAGGTTGATTTAATGCCGGGAGTGGCAGGGCTTGATAAATTTTACGGTGTTGGATTAACATTGATTGATGATACGACATCGAATCATGTCACTGATGCCAAGCCAAGCATCATCAATCAGCACGACCTTGGACTGCACAATGTCACTGCTTGCCATATTGAAAGTGCGACTGCCTCCGCCAAGCCCTGAGTCAGAGATGCCACACAAATTGGAATCTTTAAATCAACGGAATAAGGACCCCCCTGCGTCGGGGGGGTCCTTATTCCAGCCTCAACCGGTGGAGGCTGGAATGCCAGGGTCCCAGCGTCTCACCGTGAGGAATAAGACAGACCCGCCCGTAACGTGCGTGACGCAGGGGCCCCGGTATTCCAGCCTCAACCGGTTGAGGCTGGAATAAGTACCTCCCCGACGCAGGGGGGTCCTTATTCCAGGCCGTCAGCCGTAGATCACAACCAGTTGAGGCTGGAATAAGATGGTTCGTATAACGGTTGCCCTTCGTATAACCGTTTCCCTTAACCTTCGTATAACCGTTTCCCTTACCCTTCGTGTAACCGTTTCCCTGATCCTGATGCTGGTTTGGTCAAAATTACATCAATCCAAGCCACGGACGGTCGTCCCACTTGGTCTTAATCTGTTCGAACTCCTGCGCAGCATTAGCCTCTTCATCATCCGCCGCGTCGTCAACATGAACGATGATGTCATTGTCATTGTCACTACTCTCGGCGGCGTCTTGGTTCTCGTCATTGGCGTTGGGCGTTGGCACTGCTGGACTTGCCTCTGCAAAGACACTTGAAACTCCGGATTGGTTATTGATTGCCCTTAAAAATTATTTGGGGCCGGGCTCATTAATTTAACCAAGTTGCGGCTTGACCTTTCTTTTTAGCCTTCTTCCTTCGGGCGGCCCTTGCTCTGTTTTTCTCCTTTTTCAGCGCTGCGTCCTCCTGGCCAGTCATCTTCTTCAGACGCTTGAAGGCCCGTTCAGCTCTGGGCCCTGTTGGAGTGGCACAGTCACCAGCCTCAGGACCAGTGGACTCAAACGTTTTAAGAACAACCGTTGAGAATATTATAACTTGAAGAAAAAGAGTAAGTAAAACAAACCACAGCCAAGGCACGCCGGTTGCGTAGTTGATGGCGCCAGTTGCGTAGTCCACCACCAGCATGAAGTCGACGGCCTCGCGCAAGGCTTTCCACCCAAACCAGTGACTGTTCATATCGTCCGGCTTGTTGTGCAACATCTCGAAGAGCTGCCGCAAGAAGGAATACTGGTGATTCCAAGTCGCATCCCTCTTCAGCTTGGGGCTTGGCCTCGGGGTTTCGTCCTCATCTTCCACCATGACCCCTCCCTCCACCATCTCGTACAGCACCGCCGCTGCTGCGTAGCAGTCGACACACTTGTCCCTCGGCAGCTCCCCGGTCCAGACTTCAAGCGGGACATACGCAGGAGTCCCCGCCAGCGACCTGGTCATGGCCTCAAAGGCGATCCCGAAGTCCGCCAGCTTGAGGAACGCGCTTGGCGATGGGTCCGTCAGCCTTAAACCAGTTAGTATCTTTGAAGGAACCATGAACATTTTGGTAAAATTGAATTCGAAAGCCAGCATACTTGAAAAGTCAAAATTAATGAAGAAGGGAAAAACATGAAATAAATGTATTAAACAACCAAGACTCAGCAGGTTCGCTGGCTTCACATCGCTGTGAATCAGAGAACGGTTGTGGCAGTATTTCAAAGCGCTCACCAGGTGCTTCATCCACAGGTTGATGGACTGGGTGGTTGCGATACCATACCGGCCGTCACCATTATGAAAGATACCTTGGATTTGATTTTATGAAATGGTCGAACTAACTGGCAGGAATTTATTCCAGTCAATTCCAGTCAAGGTTAGGAAACACCGCCGCCAAGTTTCGGGAATGTAGATCCCCACCTCTGCACCACTCCATGTCCAAGTAGCTGATGCCCTGTAAGCTTTGGATGTCATAGAGGGCGGCTATGTGGGGGTGGTTGAGCCTTGGTTGTTTAATGTTTCATGATTCAAAACTTTCCACGCCAACGAATTTTAATTAAGCCTAAGCAACGACTTCAGAAGCTTTCCCTCCTCCAAGAGCTCCAGATCTTCGTCGTCAGCAGGGCTTCCACGAAAGTTCAGGTTGACCTTCAACACCCTTATCGTGCCATCTTTCAATGACCTTGCCCTGTATGCGATTCCCATGCCTCCCTGCCCAAGTTTTTTCACCTCGTCGAACTTCAACTGTTCAAAAAGTTTGGCCGCTGTGTGGTTGTCAGCGTCCTCCACTTCGTCCCGCTCGTTGTCACCCATTGCATCACCCATCGGCAGCAGAGGGTTGAAATTTAAAACTGAAATAAAATGTCGATGAAATTGATTTGAGTAGCGCTGCTTTAGTGAAACGTTGGTTGATTTCTCTGCGTTTTGGATTGATCATCCGACTGGTTAATGTGATGCATCTGGCGCACTCACTGACTCTGTCTGTGACAGTGACGCGTTTCATTCATCTAATTTAAACTGAACCTTGGCCGCGTCACGAACACACATCATCTCCGGAAGCTTAAACTGCACATGTGTGTGTCACATCATCTCCGGCTTTTGAAACTTCATTCAAACATCAAGTGAAACGGCCTCAATGACATGAACTTTGAACATCAAAGACCTCATCACTGTCACCAACGAAGCAGCTCAGTATGCTGTTTGCTTGTGATTTGCAAGCCAAGTTAAGCTGGGTCAATCTTCCCCGCGACCCTTCCCAGACTTGTCCATATCAAGTTTCTCGATATGTGAAATAAACTGATCCTTCAGGAAGACCTTTTGCCCCTGACTCGCCGGATCAACCAGGTTCTGTGATGAGCACAGAACAAAATTTGCCTTCGGCATCTCTGAAGTAATTCTCCAACCATTCTTGGGCCTGAGATGTTGAATGGAATCCTGAATCAGCCCCGCAATTTCTGGATGGCGAGCTTTGAAGTCATCAGTCAAAAAGATCTTCTTTTGAGTTCGGATGGCCCTTTTGAGCTTCAACACAACACCAGTGCGCTTTTGCAAGGAGGAAGCTTCAGCTACCCATCCACCAGTCAGAACAGCCGCCCAATGAGCTCGTTCAGGTAGCACAGTGGCATCCTCAACAATGAACAGCGTTGCCTCAACCCGCTGAGTTGTTGGCACCATATTGTATTGCATGACCGCTGTCTCCTGAATGTCACAATGCTTTAAAAGCGGAATGACAAAACCGAAAACACTAATCAAACAAATGAAGCTGAGTTGAATCTAGAATGTTAATTCAGTTAAGGATCTGTCTGATCCCTCACTGAACTTTGCACCCACACTTTGACGGTTGAAAAGTCATTCCAGTCCATCTTGAGGTGCATTCTTGTCTCTGCGGCGATCCTGCGCTTTCTGTCCCGCACCTTTTCTTTGTCGTTTTCTGCATTTTTCAATGCAGCATCCTCCACAGCCTCGATGAGACCGTCTTCGATTTCATGATCAAGAAGTCTTCCGTAGTTGAAGGCTTCGATAGTGCCTTTCAAGGCCTTCTTTTTTTGAAAGGCCATTTCTTTTTCGTGGGATTCTGACCAGCCAGCCAACTCGTTAACATCCTCGTCCATGTAGGCCAAGTCGCTTGCTTCATCTGCTAGTCCCTGGACTGTCACACGTCTTTTACTCAACCAGCCTGTCATTGTATCCCGTTCCTCTATGGCTTTTCGCTTGATGTTCTTGTCGATTCTGGCAACGTCTCTGGTTCGGTGTAATCCTGCGAAGTGGCAATGATCCTTAAAAAATGCCAGTTATAATTAAAAAGTAAAAGTCATCTTTCATGACCGAAAAATAATAATATTAAATACCCAGCCAGGCCCATCATTCGCCCTGCTAAGCCCGGCCTTGAACCGGGCGTAGCCGGGCTGGTTAAGGGCCCGGCCTGGCCCGTCATTTGCCGCAATGACGGGCGAAGCCAGGCCCCTGACTCCAATGTTGGGCGAAGACGGGTATTTTTATATTACTAACATCGTTTTTCTAAATTTGGGTTTGCCTTGTCTTTGAGTCTGGCCTGGGGCGCATTGCTCATACAGAACCCGCGACCTCTTGACCAGTTGGTCAACTTCCGGGGATGTCAAATTTGTCAGCATGAACTTCACCATTACCGCATCAGTCTCAGCAGATGAGCCTCCTCGGCCAACCACAGCCGCTGTCTTGGAGAAGCCTTGTTCCACTCCGCCGGTTGATGCCTGAAATCAACAAGCAAACCCGCAAACGAAGATCAAACAGCACATCGTTACATCATCTTGACAAAATGAACTTGTTGTAAGACGGTGGTTTGGAATGTACAGCTTCGTGGCAACCACAATGACACTGGCTGGCAAGGACGACTTAGTCGATTATATCGAAACTGATTGAGTCACCCCCATTAAGCACGGTTAAGTTCGATTCCATGTAATTTGTTTCTTCGACGACAACCAAGCCAAAAGTCGCCAATTCAATCCCAATGGCTTGCCAAGCAATGTAGCGCCACATGACTGGACTCAGGTGGTCGGAGGGCGATCCAGATTTGCCCAGTCGCCGCATCGCTCGAAGCCAAGCGTCTCGGCTCTTCAACCCACCTTCCCTCATCATCTGCTCAGCAACTGGCCTGTGTCGCAAAAGTTGGTCTCGTAGAGCCGCGGCGTTCACATCAAACACCTGAGCCAGCCTGTGAAAATGGACGTTGGTCGTCTGAGTGATCTCACACACTTGCTCCCTCTCAGTCTTCAGAGAAAAGACCTGCGTCGCATTGAAAAGCGAATGGTGTGGGAACTCAGCCCGCAAGACTTCCACAGCAAGCCTGGCCCAGCAACGCATACGGGTGATGCACCTCTCCAACATGCCTGAGTCCACCCCTTTGAACTTCTTGACTGCGTTGGGCAAGAAGATGCACAACGAGCCAGACCGAAGGAGTTCCAAGACGTAGTGCGTGTAGCCGCATTCCACGACCTTTGACTGTTGGAACAGCGCCCCAATGCGACTCTGAAATGAATGGACAACAGTGGCAATTTCGGCCATGTCGACGTTTTCCTTGTCCATGGCTCTCACCAACAACAGTCCTTCATCTGCCGCATCTCCCAGCATTGAAAATTGGCAGAGACTCTCCGGGGTCAGACTCTCAAGGTACGCCAAGGCGCAGCGTCCTTCTTTGTTGCCCTTTCGGTTCTCGGCAATTTTCTGGCAAGTGGCAAGAAAGGCTGGGGAATACAACAGCATCCTGCCCAGCGGTGTGGAGTGGGACTCGAACCTGTGCTTTGCTGAACGCAGGTTCTTGCATTTTGCCCCGAAACCGGCAGTCTGCTCCTGGCGGCTGATCTCATCCTCCAACCACAAAGAGAATTCATGCGAATTCGAAATGATTTGGACCATGGAGTGGGAGCCCAGAACGTGGTCAGTCATCAGCGCCTGCAGGAACTCGTCGGCGCAGTACGGTCTTTGCAAGACTTTCCGGAAGGCATGAGCCTTGTCTCTTCCAATCATCTTCAGGTTAGGGTGGAGTTCTTGCGCGCCCTCATCCTCAATGTTAACATCTCTTTTTCCGGCACCCACGTCTCCTGCATGTGCGTTCAGTTGATTGAATTTCCCTTATATATTAAACAAATTTTATGAACTAAAAGGAGGCTGCAAAAAATGGAGTTTTACAAGCAAGACACTTATAATCAAAACCCAGGCCTGCTAGGATTTCGTTGGCCGCGCTGTCTGACATGACAATCTCAATCTTCGAAGTCATGTGGTTGAAGAGCCCCTCCATGAATTGCGGCTCAGGCCCACAGTTCCAGCGAGGCTTGTTCGCGAACTTGGTACAAAACCTTCGGATCAACTTCCGTGTTTGTCTAACAATGTCTCCTCCACGGTCTCCACCTCCGAGGCTCATACCAAGAACTCCAGCTCGCGCTGTAAAATTCTCAGTGCAAATTCCGTACTTGATCAGCAAGTCAGCTCTGCGAGCATCCCTGGCCAAGGAAATCGTACAGGATTTTGCCATGTCATCTCTTTCCATATCTAACAGCGTCTCATGCAGTGCCCACGTCATCAAAGCGCATTTGTCTGAGTAAGTCGCACCGTGGCTGCTTTTCTGTGGCTTGCCAGCCTGTAAGCTCTGCAGCAAAGATCTGAAATCATCTGCTGGAGGGGCTCCCGGGGCATCATCAATGAGCAACATCTTGCACACTGCGGCCCTATGAGCAGAAGACGTCTCGTGCCGCTTCAGGTACCCACTCTTGAACACCGAAGCCAAGTCTTTTGATTCCTTTCCTGCTTCACCTGTTTTTCAGGGTGTCGTCATACCTGCTCTTTTGCATGCCGTACATAATAGTCCACTGCTGGCAAGGGACACCCACGTCGTCGCCATCAGTGTAGCAGACTCTAAGGGCAAACTCTTCTTCTCCAAGTTGGTGAGGACGTTCTCCAACTTGAACGCTTTAGTGAGCCTGGAAGAAGCCTTTCGCCAACGAGTTTGAAGTTCTTCCTGTGAAACAGCGTTGTCCTCGTCAACCTTTTTGTCACTGTCGTGTTTGCCACTGTCCGTCTTTGACTTAGCTGCGGCAGTGAAGGGGTCATCATCCTCATCATAGTCTAAGTCGGCCATGGCTGGCCGGCAGGTTGACGTTGGTTGAAATATGTTGAAATTTGGTTTATGGCTTAGTGGCTTGTTTGTTGGCTACGACAGATGTTTTCTCACTGGAGCCTTGCTAAGGAGTTATTTTGATGCCTTGTGGCCGCATTTTGTCTTTCATTTTATGTCGAAATTTAATGTCCATTGTGAGGAATATTGTTGCAACAAATGCGCACTTGAACCTTCTCATGTCCGCATTGTGAACTTCATTCCGAAACAACGACTAGGGCTGAAATCAACTCGCCGACCGACAACCTGAATTTGTAAGCCACATTAATATGAATTTTGATTGGATGAGAGCCACATCAATATGAGCTGCTGTTCTTTTACCCTTCTGTTGTCCTCGTGTGTCGCTGGGCCTCTCAGCTTTTTAAAAGACCTAAGGCGAAGAAAAACTTCATCACCTTCGCCTTTGAAATTGGTACCTCAACTGATGATGTGGTCCGCTTCAATGAGGTCGCAGGTTCTTTGGCCATCTTCCTTCCTTCGGCAACCAGTGTCTGACCAGGGGGCGCATGATTGAACTCTAAAGATAATAACCGACTACGTTTTAACTCCCCTTAATTTATTTACTTAAGTTAACATGGCTTAATAAACCCAATCGCCTGGTTTCCACAGCGCGTTCCCCGCGCCATGCGGACTTGCGACAGCAAGAATTTCAGCGCAGGATCGTCATCATTTGGGTGATTTTCAACAATGTGTTGAAGGTCCTGGTCACCTCAGTCAAAATGTTCTTGAAGTCAATCTTTAACTGTGTTCAGGCCTAGTCACGTTTTTTTCAAATAACCGGGGCCAAATGGTAATCGTAAAAGCCCTTTCTTCTGCGCGTCATTCCCATCAGAATCACCTGACAGAGCATGACAGGGGCTGAATTCATCTATGAAACTGTGAAGCGACGCCTGCGTCAATCCACCATCATACGACAATGAATGGCATTTTAATTGGATATTTTTGTTAAAACAATTGCTCAAATCTTTTCAGCTGAAGTGCGCACTTTGTTTTCGCTCAGGCAGGCATGTCGACCTGTCAAAACTACCACGCTCAAGCCGCGGCCTCAGCAACCGTCAACTTCCTATCGCCCGTCAACTTCTGCAATGGCAGCCTCGTCTTGGTCCTCAGTGCCATCCAGGTTGCAAAAGATCACCGGACCACGCTTAGGCTTCCATTTCTTTGGTTCCGGGTACTTCTCAATGTTGGACATCTTCCAGGCATAAATTTCCCTATACTTCGAGATCACACGGGGGACATTGGTGCTGTTGAAGCCGCACTTGACTTCATTTCTCGGGGCGAGGAAGAAGTTCCTTTTGTGCTTGTCACTTTCGGTCACTGGCTCCCACTCGCCTGCATCGTCGCTTCTGCGGCCGACCCTGAGGCATTTGTCGAAGGTAACCTCTCCCACCATACGGCTGCATTTGGTCATAGCTATTGCCGTGGGTTTCCCTTTCCGGTGCTCAGGCAACGGAAATGACCGAAGTTCCCACGTCTTGTTGCCATCAAAGATCTGGTTGCACCATTCCTTGCTGATGAAGAGGGCTGACTTGGGCATCTCAAGCTTCAAATTGCAGCTGCGGTAAATGACAAGACAGTCAGTGGTCAATCATGGTCAGTCTTTAATTCAACAATGAATGTCACTGAGTCACATCAACTTGAAAAAGTAACTGTCAAACTGGGGACCCCGCCTTAAGCCCGCCCTCATGGGCTAATAAACGGCAACGATCATCGGCAACGCAGTGTCGTTGAAGCGCAATGCAAAATTACTGAAAAACTGAAAACATGACGCCCCAAAACTGCAAATGATAACCCCTGCCAGGCCCAAGCCATGATCCCGGCCAAGCCCGCTAAGGGAAAACCAAGACGGGCTTAGCCTGGCTCATGACGACTGGGCGAAGCTGGGCGTAGTTCTGGTGTATCAGATTTTTGATACAAGAATCAGTCCAGGAAGTTGGGGTGCTAATAAACTGACATCAAGTCAACTGAAGCTTCAGCTGCTGAATCTTTTTTTGCAGGCGTGCCTCACTCTGCCATGGTCTGGTCCTGATCACTTCGCCGTGGACTTCAAGGTCTTGAGACTGAGGGCGGACTTCATCACCTTGGCCTTGGCTTTGGGGAGATTCTGGCTGGCAGGCTTCTTGTGAATCATCTCCTTCTCGGGCTTCTGGCTGGCAGGTTTAGGCCTTTCATCTATGGCACCGGGGTTCCTCATCATGTAGCAGGGTCCCTCGGACGGCTCGTAGGCGCCGAGGATGTCATTTTCATCAGGTCCAAATCGATGCCATCGATCATCAGGCCCATGATGTCCACCACTGCCATCATTGCCGCCGCCTTTGCCATGGCTGGGGCCAGGACCACTTTCGCCTCCTTTTCCATTGCCGCCGTCACCACCAGGACCAGGTGGCCAGTCGCCATTCCCATCATCATCCTCAGCCACGAATCTTTCAAAACCCACTTGGCAAATTAAATGAGTCAAGGCACTCGTCGTGATTCTGATGCCCTTGCGCGCGCCCATTCCTCCATGACGATGTTGTTCTTGCGGTCCCAGTGCAACGTCTTCAACCCTAAGTGTCACAAGCGTCTTGTCAAAATTGGAAAAATCAACATTGAAACGTCTTATTTTACACATGGCCATGGAATTACAAAACAGTGTAAGTAATCAAAAATGGATCTAAGCGGCTCGTAACCCATCCAATTGGTTCGCCATCTTTTGGTATATGTTTCGTTGATCACGTGCTTCGTG